CTCCTTCTACTGCTTCCCTTGCTTGTGGCTCTCACCCTCTCTGTCAAATAAATAAATAAAATCTTTAAAAAAAAATAAAGTAGTTCCTCCTTTAGTGTTCAAATTTTGTAGTGTCCTGGTTTTGCCTTTGAATGAATACTCACTCTCTTTTCTGACTCTCTTTCTTTGACCCACTAAAGTGGTTCTCACTTCACTCTTTCGCGCACTATTTTTCCACTTTCACGGTTTCAGTTCTCACTCTGGGTCAGTCCAGCTATGGAACGGTTATGATACCATCTCAGATTCCCAGTCTCATGCTTCCAATTGTTTGCTACGTTATTCCAGTGAAATAATTCATCCAGATCACAAATTCAAGACAACTAAAATTTAACTTATTTATACTTCGGACTGTGACCTGACCAATTTTATCAAGCCAGAAACTTCAGCCCTATCCTTACGCCCTTTCTCAACATCAGCCCCTATATCCAGTTAAAAGATTTGTGCTGAATTTTCACCTCAGTATCTTCCTATTTTATTCCCTGACTGCATTTTTTTTTAACTTGACCCTGGCCACAAGTCACCAATGATCACAGCTCTTAGATATAAATCCAATATGGATTGAATTCATCTCCCACCCTCTGCTTAAAGACTCTTTCTTAGGGTGCCTGGGTGGCTCAGTCGTTAAGCATCTGCCTTTGGCTCAGGTCATGATCCCAAGGTCCTTGGATCAAGCCCCGCATCTGCTCCCTGCTCAGCGGGAAGCCTGCTTCTCCCTTTCCCACTCCCCCCTGCTTGTGTTCCCTCTCTCGCTGTCTCTCTGTCAAATAAATAAACAGAATCTTAAAAAAAAAAAAAAGACTCTTTCTTATTAATTTCTCCTCTACTAGTGTCATCCCTGGTTTTCCCTCTTTGAGTTTTTGCTTGGCACTTGTGGCAAATCCTATTGATGAGATTGAAACTGTGCCCCATAGGGTTAATGAAGTTGAAACTAGCAGAAAGTTTAAAGCTTGTTTTTCAGAGAACCATTTCCCCCTAATCAGCTATTCTGTCTTTTCAGACCCCACTAACAAATCCACTAATAGTCTCTACAGAAGGCTAGACTCAAGGTCAACTGATATGGTTCCAGCATATGAACAGGCAAGGCCCTTCATTCAAGCAAGGCCTAGGAGAGATAATGAGCCCAAGGTCCCATCCAATTATACTAGCTCTTAGCGGATTCCCATAGCACCTTCCACTTGCCCAATAGTTACCTCCGCCTCAGTATAATGTTAAAGTCTCTGCTCAAGGAGGAGCACAAGCTTCATTAACATAATGTACAATGCATGTATAGGCATGTTTTCTCAGTACGCCTGTGTAACCTTATGCCCGCCTTTAAATGCAATGGCAAATCTCTCCTTTCTGAATATCCATCCTAACCCTAAATGAAAGGAACCAACTCACTCCCTGCAGGGAGTCTGCTTCTCCCTCTTCCCCTCACCCCGCTTGTGTTCTCTCTCTCTCTCTCAATATCTGTCTCTCTCTCAAATAAATAAAAAATCTTTTAAAAAAATTTCAACCTATATGATATAATTTTTCTATATTTAACTTATATCCTTGGCAATTAAAAATATTATTGTCCTTAAATGAATCCTGTCATTTCCTACTTGTGTAATACTGTTTGTACTATTTCTTCTTTCTGGAATGTGTAATGTCTTCCTCTTCATCTTCTCTTCTAAAGATTCTCCATTTATCAAGTCCTAGCTCAAGTGTCACCTCTTCCACAGTGTCCAATGATCATTTAAAATGGAAGAATGTTCACTTGTTTAGCATCTCTTGGTATTGTTATTTAAGGCAGATAACACAACGACATAGTTTTCTTATTCAGGCACCCATGAGATTATCAGCAATTTGAGGGCAGTAATGATGTAATAATATTTTATTTTAACATTCAACAAATATTTATTGAGTCTTTATTGTTCTAGCTGATGGCGGTATGAACAAGGTAGACCAAGTCCTTGCTCTCACAGAGTTTATGTAAATGGTGGGGCATGTTTTACAGATAACAAGCAAGTAAATAAATATACAAAATAGGATAATCTCATATTTAGATTGGGTAGTTGGGGAAGTTCTCCCCAAGGAGGTATTTGAGATGAAATCTCAGTCATAAGAAGTACCCAATCACCAGAAGACCAGAATACAGCAAATAGAAAGTCATTCCAGTGTGATGTGTTTGAAATACACATAGAGGACTATGTGGCTGGAGCATGGTGGGGGGAAGAGAAGAGTGGTGTGACATGAGGTTAGAGAGTTAGGCAAGGGTCAGATCTTGAAGATTCATGAAGGCCAAGAAAAGTGGTTTGGATTTCATCTTAGGGTTTAAAACAGGGAGCAACATGATCTAATTTACAATATAAAATGATCTCTCTGGCTGCTGTGTAAAAAATGGATTATACAGGGTCAAGAGTAGAAGCAAGATTACTTGGAAGCATGCCACAGTAGTCAAGAAGATGAGATGATAGGTTGAATTTGGTGGTAGTAAAAGCAAGAGAAAATGGATCCATTTATAGTTTTTATAGTATTAAGCATGGTATCTTGAAGATAACAGAAGTTCAATGTATATTGCTAAATATATGTACAAGTGTTTCCAAATAGTTTCACCTTCTTAATGTATATATTATCTTCAACACTTTCCTGCTTTGAATCACATAATATGGCTTAATATATTCCTGTTTGACACTTGGGAAGCCAAGAAGAAAAAAGAGGGGGGAGCCCATATTGAAGGAAACAGTAGAAATCCTTTAACAGTAGGTAAGCTAACAAAGAACTGAAATGATGGAGGGTCATATTGTTAATTATGGAAAGAAATAAGCTACTTGAAACAAATGGTAAAAAGTTGAATTCAAAAACTATGATAGGATAAAAATGGGCACAGTATTCAAATACAAAGATCTACATTTTAGAAAAGAGATCTTTTCTCCATGAGCATTAACTAGATAGTGTGCCTACAGAGCATGTGAGTAAAGTGAATTCTCATTAAAATAGAAGACTGTTCCAGTTCTAACTTACCTTTGATTTCTCTGGAAATATAAACCCTTCATTTTACTATCTTGATATGATAAATTTCCTAATAAGTAGCTAATACTTTCTTACCAGAAAGTAAGGTTTATTTTTCGGAGAGCGCTACATGTAACCTGCCTTGTTTCTAAATTAGGAATCTGAGAAAAGACAGGCAATTTGGTAGGTTCTCATTCTTTTTCACATATACTTTCCAGGACATTCTAGTTTTTCACCCATGAAGATTCACCCTGCATGATAAAATCAATCCAAATTCCTTCAACAAAAAGCAAAATCCTGGGGAAAATGGGATCAATTTTTGCCACTTTCCACCTGAAATGCTAAATGGGCCCTGAATCGTGTGAAACCAGGCCTCAGTCAGTGTGAAAACTGGCTGAAATCTGTATGAAAGGCAGTCTGGGTTCGTCAAAGAAGTTCATGAACTTTGGCCAAACTCACAAGGAACCTGGTCCAAGTCTTAGTTTGTAATGCAACATGAAACCAGGTGAATTTCACATGGTTTCAGGTTTCATCCTGAAAATTTGGCCTGGCTTTATAATCAATCATCACTTTTGGGAACGATGAAAGCCAACACACCTTTTTGAAAATGAGGACTGCATGCATACTGATGACAGCTGAGCTGTGAACCACCCCTTCACTTCCTTTGCCAAAAGAAGATTTCTCAGAATGGAAACAGTTTCCCCCTTACCTGGAAAGGGCAAGTTGAGTGATTTTGATATGTCGTGTAGAAATAAATGATACTCAATACATGGAGACATGCCATGTGAATAATCACCACATACAGAGCAAGTGGCTATGTTCTAATCATTTAAGGTTATGAGAATTTTATTCTATTCACATCCATGACAGATATCATGATGTTTAATCTCCTTGACCATTAACATGAGCTTTTAGCTTGAAGCTAGTCATCGGCTAGAATAATTGCCTTGAGAAACAAAATGCTCTGAGGCATGGTCATTATTTTTATATAAAGAAATGGCTGAAGAATGGAAAGGAAAACAAATCATAGCCTACTTTCTATCTAGTTTAATAAACATGAAGAGATAAGACAACAAATTTTTCAGGTTTGCATCAACTACATCTTTTGCAATAAAACCTCTATCTACTGCAGTATAAATGAATTCAATAATTAACTACACACAGCGCATTTTACAAAAACCCTACAGTTTCTGTTTTCAACCTGAAAGTTTTAAATGTGCTTTTCCACTGTAAAAAATGACTCTTCAACCAAATACTCGCTTTTGTGCATAGTGACATGAGAAAATTGAGAGGTATGTCTGAACGGAGCCACTACATCATTGGAACAGTATGTCTGAACATTTGGGTAATAAGGCACAGATGTTAAGCAGAGGACTTGGCACTACCAAGGTAACAACAAAGCATTCACCATTGTGTTATAATGGTTAAAAGAGCCACATTTGAGAAGAATAAAAGAATGCCCCTCCTCCTTGGAACACTGTTATATTACACCTTTTATCGGTTTAAAAATCTATAAAAAATAAGAAATTCAAATAAGTGTTATTCAAATTTATGATGAAGAATACAAATATAAAATGCATTAATATTTTCATCTATAATATAACATATTTATGCAATAGCACATAAAGTTTAACTGCAGAAAAAGGCCAAATTCGACAGGAATCCAAAACAATGCATGCAAATCTGAAGGACCCAATAGCCATCGGAATGGTGGTTGTTATTGACTCTTTAGTAGTGATCTGGCCCTTCATCAGTAGGGCTAATTATTGTACAGTGTCCTACTTATAGGTATCAACTTAAAGCTATGCTACAGGATATACCTATTAATTATTATTAAGGCTATTTCACTTACAAGTGGTATGGTATTTTTTGCCAGCTATTACTAAACCATGACACAAAGACATGTTATAAAGCCAGGGCTACTTTAATTCAATAAGTTTGGAGCTGAAAACCAATTTTCTGCCCAGGATTGGAAGAATACAACTTACCCGAGGTCCCTGATCACCTTGTTCTCCCTGTAGAGTAGGAAGATGAGATGATAAATAGTTTTAGCATAAAGGCTGCATTCGATGCTCATTAAAAAGACCAAAATATAACATAGCATAGGTCATACCAATGGATTTCCACTAACTTAATTAGTTTCTGCTACACATTTTCTTACCTTATCACCTTTTGGACCAGGAGGGCCCTAAAAAAAAGAAAAAGGAAGAAAGAAATGTTTTAATAAATTTAAAAAATTGTAGCTTGAATAGATCAGCTAGTTAGCTGCAAGATTCATGCAAAGGGCAAAGAGGTATACCGGTCAATGAGGTTTATCAAGGAATTTTAGGTTCTAAATTATAATTGTAAGATGGTTAGAATGTGAAAGTGGTATAATACACATACTATCATATATAATATAATGGTATATATAGTATGGTATATATCATATACCAGTATGCATTGTACTATACCATACTGGTACATATACCAGTAAAATATGGTACTATACCATAGTATATAGTACATATATACTGCTATACTACACACACACACACACACACACACACACACAGAAAAGTACACAAAGTCCACGTGTCATAAGCATATAATATGCTGGATAAATTTTTACAAGCTAAATGTACCTATGCAAGTAGAAATCAGCTAAGGAAACCCAGAAGGACTGTGGTGACATTTTCTTGTCATTACTCTCAACCAACAGTGACTACTATTTCTGACCTCTGACAAAATAGTTTGTCTGTTTTTGTAGTTACAGAAATGGAATGATACCGGTATGAGTCTGACCTCCTTTGCTCAATGTGTAAAATGTATTCATAATTTTGTGTGTGCTGTAGATCATTTGTTCTTACTGCTTTATAATATTCCACCATGTGAATAAACCATAATTTATTTGTTTATTCTACTTGGTTGATGGCCCTTTGTTTTCAGGCGTTTCTATGTCTTGACTACTAAAAATAGTGCTGCTACAAATATCCTAACTTTATGTCTTTTGATTAAAAACTGTATGCATTTCTGTTGGGTGTAAATCTAGGAGTGGAATTTTGGGTTATAGAAAATACCTAATATGTTCAATTTTAGTAGGTACTGACAAATCGTTTTTCAGTGTGGTTCTAACAATTTACACTCCCATCACCAGTATACAAGAATTTCAGTTCCCCTATATCATCACCAATACTCGGCATTTTCCATCTTTTTTTGTTTTAGACATTCTGGTGGGAGGTGTAGTAGTTTCACACTGTTTTAATTTGCATTTCTCCAGTGACTAATTAGCTTAACTCCTTTTAATGCATGTGTTGTCCATTTTGCAACTTCACCCACAAAGTGTTTATTCACGTCTCTTGCCCTTTTTTCTACTGAGTTGTCCTTTAGACTTACTAGAGTTCTTTACATATTATAATATCTATATATATCGAGAGGTGTGAGAGTACTTTACATTATTCTGATTATGAGTTTTCTATCAGTTATTTTTTGCAAATATATTCTCCCACTCTGTGTACTGTGTTTATATTCTCTTAACTAGGTTTCGATGAACAGAAGTTTTCAATTTTAATAAAACTCTATTTAACATTTTTTTTTTGTTTATCTCTTTTTGTATTCCACTTAAGGAATCTTTGCTTACTCCAAGGTCATAAAGGGTTCTTCTATGTTTATTCTAAAAGCTAAAAGCCTTATTGAAACTACTATAACACTGTATGTTAACTATACTAGAATTAATTTTTTTAAAAATTAAGATAAATAAAAAAGAGATGTAATATATACATATATATGATATAATATCACTCAGCCATAGAAAAGAATGAAATCTTGCATATGTGATAACACAGATGTATCTAGAGGGTATGATGCTAAGTAAAATATGTCAGACAGAGAAAGACAAATACCATATGATTTCACTCATATGTGATATTTAAGAAACAAAACAAAGAAAAAAAAGAGACCAAAAAAGCAGACTTTTAACTATAGAGAACCAACTGGTGGTTGCCAGAGGGGAGGTTGGTGGGGGGATGGGTGAAATAGGTGAAGGGGATTAAGAGTACATTTATCATGATGAATACTGAGTAATGTATTGAATTGTTGACTCACTATATTGTACACCTAAAATAAATATAACACTGTATGTTAAACTTATACTGTCTGGGATGGCATGGTGCCCAAACTGAAAGAAGAAAACAACAATAAAAAAATAAAATAAAAAAATAGAGGCTTTATTTCTTTATTTTTCATACTCAGATCTAAATTCATGGGGAACTGATTTTGTACATGATGTGAGGTCAAAGTCAAGATGTTCTTTTTCTCCTATGTGAATATCAAATTAACCCAACACCATTTATTGAAAATGAATCTTTTCCTCATTGTAGTACAGTGTTATCTTTGTCATAAATCGGATAACCATATAGATGTGGCTCTTTTTAGGATTTTCTACTTTGTTGGGCAGCTGTCTGTTCTTAAGCCACATTGAGATTTTTCTTTATCTTTGAACAAAAATGCCAGCAGGACATACTAATTCTAGAGACATCAATACTTTTTTCCCCTAGCTCTTAAAGATGAAATCATGTTCCAGGGCTCAGCCTACTTGAGGAATTGGAGCATTTCAGAGTTACCTTCAATCTCTCACCTTCACCTTCGGCAGGGCTGGAAGACAAGTGTAAATCTAGACTAGAAGCACAGCCAAGGTTCTAGCAAAGTACTCCTTCCTAAGTCCCTGCAATGTCACTTCAGGTGGAAATGTGGGAATACTCTGTCTACTAAAACATCTCCTGCTAAGTATCTGCTGCAGAGGAACTGTACTAAATTCCTACTCTCAGTTGTGACACTTCTGGTAACAGCTGTGAGGTTATCATGAACTTAATAATAACAATAATATCATGTCTTGTAGTTTATATATTTTACCATCAACAAAGAACTTTCATCTGGTCCCAATCCAATGAAGAGAGTATTATGATATTCCTTTTATAGATGCCAAAAATGAAACTCAAAGATTATCAAGGTTAGGTCTCTTGCAAGTGAGTTAGCCAGGACTTTAACCTAGTCTGTGTGCCTAGGTTAGGATGGTAAGTGTTGGGACACAGCCCTAGAACTAGATTCTCATAAAGAATGATGACTATGTGCCTGCCTTCAACAGATGCCTTCTGAAATGCTGCCAATTACATTTCCCAGTATCCTGGGTAGTGACCCCAAGATCTCAAGTTCAAAATGAGAAAAAGAGTAATTGTGGAGGGTCAGAGTGAGAGAGAAGAGAGAGAGAGCTAAGATAAGGGAATCAACTAAACAAACCCTTGTTTCTCTTGTCCCAAAAATAATTTTGCCATTAAAAAAAGGGAAACCAAGGAAATTATTTTTCTTTATGTTTTCAGTAAAATTTTAATGTTTTATTAATGTTTTCAGTGAATGAGTAGTGAGTAATTGGTATAGACTGTGTGTCTACCTCTGTAAAATTAAGTTTAAAGAATTTATTTGGTTATTTTTAACACATGAAATGTTCTCTAATGCTCTACAAGTAGGGTTTTATTTTTGGTGGGGCAAAGGAAACCCCAAAAAAGAGTGAGAGGACACCTACCTTCCAGTCTCAGAAATACAATGGAGATTCTAGTCTTGATTGAAATACCATGTTATTTAAGTCTATTTTGATTTTTATATACATTTATATATAAATGCCTATAAAGAGTTTGGCAATGTTCTAGGCACTGATGGAAGATATGGTGGGAGAAGCTGATTTAGAAAACCTGAATGGTCTGTTTTGGAAAAGCTTAATAGTCTAGTGCCACAGTTAAACACTTCCCGATACCAGCATTAAGAAAAACTCCCTAGAAAATCCAGCTACTATAAAGATACTTATAGTTACTATGGAGCCCCTCCCCTGCTCCCACTCCTTTCCCCCCAAAAGCTTTTTCTCTTTGAAGTTTAGTTTGCTTTTGCTGGTGAGATTTCAGAGGCCAAGCCTCTCATTGTACCAGTCCTCGAAAGGCACTTTATTAGGTTATATGGCATGTTTGAGGTCAAAGCTTTTCTAAAACAATTTTACAGTGGGGAGCAGAGATGACTTTTTTCCCCAAAGTCCAATGACTAATGCCAAAGCCACATATGAAAACTAGACCTCTTTAGACAGTTTGTCATAAGCAAGGATCCTTAATTCATGAACACATAAAAATTTGCATTCACAATTGAGCAATAAAATACTGCTGCTTCAAAAGGGGATGTTTCTGAGCAGACAGAATGGCGTCCTGGCACCTGCCAGCTCAAGACAGAACCGAAGCAGAGGTCAACCTCCATTCACAGCTGTGGCGGCTGCTTCGGACACTCCAGACCCCACTTGTGCTCTTGGGATTAATGGCAGGTGTTTTCTTCTGTTCTGACTGAAATCCCACTCTTCTTTCTGAATTGGATCCTCTTCACTGCAAATATGGATTGAATTTGAAGGAAAACGTGGACGACCTTAGTAAACACAGATAGTATTTCAAAATTTGGGAGCCATGGTTTTCTTCTAGGTCAAAATATTACAAATGAAAGAAAGGTTTTTTTGATTATTAACTTTTAAAATTAAAGCTGGGTAACTAAGTTATTTTGTCCTTAGACTGATATTAACTAAAGGATAGGCAATAATTAAAATGAATGAATATTTGAATTATAGTATATTTTACCATGGCATTTTGTTGCTTCCAACTGCACCAAATTAGCAATTAATAGTTAGTGGACATATCTGTTGTTCAGGTATCAGTATCAGTGATTCATTGGTAACTATTTGAAAATAAAACTTTGTTGCTAAAACAAGGTTGAGGTCAATGATAAGTAAATATGGTAAAACTAGTGGTCATAAATAAGGGAATAGTGAGTCATTATTTATGACTCTTTATGTAAGGCTTGGGATTCCTGTCCTTCTGGTCTGGTCCAGTAGATTGGAGTCAGATCTTTTATTATGTCCATTTAAATAAATAAATAAGAATATTTGAAATGATTATTTTTAATTAGTTTTATCTTATTAGCCCTAATTACATAAATTTTGAAAGTGCTAACAAAGTTTTTATTATTAGTGTTCTTGGTCAGTAGTTGGAACATTTCTTTTAGAGTGTTGTTAGAGTGTTATTAATTTACTACCAAAGTATTTATAAATATCAGTGGCAAACTTCAAATTAGCCCTTATTCAAATTCAGAATTTATGGCAACAATCCTTCTGTTTGTACCAAGACTTTA